CCAGTAAATTCATCATCTCCTCATTTTTATCTCTCCTTTAACAGCGAGTCTCAAGGAGGAGAGGGGTCGGGGTGCCTGAGAGAGTGTGTGTGTGTGCAGTGTGCCTGTAGTGAAATATGGCCCTCCTGTCAGTCTGACCCAATCAGGAATGAGACGTCATTCTCCTTTCTTCATGCTCCACACACCGCAGACAGAAAGATTGAGATATGGCAGCTGATAGGTGTTTGGGCGTGAGCCATTTATATATGTATATAGCTGAGGGGGGAGAATGCAAGGAGCTAAATGAAGATAGAAAACAAAGGTGAGCCCAATGGTATTCAGATGAAGCCCTTCATAAAATATTTGGCCTCCTCCTCCACAGTTTGTGCCTATATTATACTTTATGCAAATGCTTGGAGTCTTATGTTCAGTAATTGTTTTTTTTTGTCATGGGAGACCTGAGAAAAGCAGCCTGCAATGTAATTTTTCCCTTGCATAATGAGAAAAAAAACCCAATTACTGACTGTAAATTCATACTTGAATCTTAAACAGAGCCGTGGGAAGAGGCTTCAGGTTGGAGGGGCATTTTCTGCATGCAATAATACAACATAGGCTACTATGATATAAATGCATTATTATGTACAGCACACAAAACATATCTAAATATGTACAGTATTTAACAGCACAAATACATTACGTTATTTAAACCTCTAACTCTGTGACATGGCGCAGACATCGGGTGCATGTGCGCGCACACACACACACGTCATCGTCAGCAAATTCATTGAAGCTAGAAGAAACTACAATTACTGGCCTGTGGTTGTATGCCCTGCCAATCAACAGTTTACATCCATGTCTGTCTGTCTCACATAATACATATAATGTCCTTAGTTGGAGTTGGGGCTACACTTATTTCTTGGATGAAAAAACTTCCCACAATTTAATTGAGTTCATCCAGTTAGCTATTTGGAGTGTAGATATACACCCATCAGTCATCTGAGAACCTTGTGGGGAGTGAGGGCTCGTGGGGTATATAGCACCACAAAAAAACAAAAAACAAAAACATAAATAGCATGTAAAAAAAACAAAGAAAGATAAAACAAAAGGGAGGGATAAATTAAAAGAGACACGACAGATGAGAAAAACAAACAAGGATATCTATAAAAAGGCTTGCCTGTAGAGGTGGGTTTTGAGCAGCCGCTTAAAACTGTCCACAGATTCAGTGAATCTGAGTGAATGGGGAAGACTATTCCACAATGTTGGGGCTAAAACAGCGGCCACTTTAGAGTTTACAGGGTTAGAACGTGGAGACAGATAGAAAGGCAGAGATTTGGAGGGAGCGGATGTGGCCAGATGAGTGGGAGTGGGGAAGCAAGGAGAAAATGTAACTGGGGGCAAGGTCATGAAGTGCCTTATATGTAATCAGTAAGATCTTATAATTGATTCTGAATTTTACAGTTTTAAGGCCCATTACATCAGTGGCTAGATTATTATGCTAGTTTTAAGAATTCTAGCAAAAAACTTGATTATATTTGAGAATATTTGGCTTCTTTCTAGAAGGGCTGTTTTTGCTGTGTATATTGGAGAAATACAGGTTGTCGGAGCATTGTGAGCTTATCTCATGTCAACTTGAGTTACCTTCTTAGACTCTACAAAGTGAGTGGCAACTCCAGCTCTCTGCACGTCACGTCCCTTGAGACGGAAGCCCGTCAAGGCCAGAAACAGTCCCAACTTCCCCCGGAGCCTTGGCAGAAAATAGCCACCTCCCACATCAGGGAAAAGCCCTGTCAAAACAGAACATAACACTAGGCACATTCTTGTACAGTTTCAATACACAAGCACTTCATGACGCAACTGAACTGCCACTGTTGACCCTGTCCAAATACCCAACAATAAAACACAGAATGAGATTATAGACTGACAATACTGGAGTTTTGAGGCTGATACTGGGATCTTTATTTGAGAGTGTACAGTAAAGATACAGCAGCTGCTAATGTAAACAAAAACTCTTGATACAGATCCCTTTAAATGATTGTGACCAATATACATACTAACTGGGACATTTTATATTTTTAAATCCAGAATGAAAACTCTTGTTATTCTCAAGCGCTTTTACCTAAATGTTTCTAAAAAGTCGTATTATAATGCTTTTACTTTTCTCATTTATTTATTTTTATTCTTTTATCTTATTTTTTATCTAATTTTTATACAGATCTATTCCTTTTTAGTATAATTCTAGTTCTATCTTTGATTTGTGGAGTTTGTCTTCAAATTGTTTGTTTTTTTATCTTTGAATTGTGTTCTTTTATCTTTGAAGGGTATTGCTTTTAACTACACTGTACAGCACGTTGAATATACCTCGTGTATAGAAAGTGTTTTACAAATAAACCTGCCTTGCCTTGTCAGTGTTCTCTTGGTAAAACTGTTTACAAATTACATCAAAACTAGTTTGGCATATCTCTATTGCTATTTCTGATAAGTCTATAAAAAGCCAGTATCAGCAGATATATCTGACTGGGCAATTATTTGTGACCTCAACTAAACATGTGACCTCAACTAAACATGTGACCTCAACTAAACACTAACAAGGTTTCTCTAACATGAGGACAGAATGTATTATTAACCACCCCACAGATGACAAGTGACTAATTGTGTAAATGGTGGACGATGAAGCATCTGTTATATAATGGCAAGCACCACACATCAGCATCAACTTATGTTGTAATCAATTAGTATTTTTGCCTCAGAAACATCAAAAAACAATTGAAAAATTCACTGTTTCTTAAAGCCCAAGGGGATGTCATCAAACGTCATGGATTTTTCTGTCAGGAAAAACTGTCCCATACTCAAAGATATTCAGATTTTTATCACGTAAAACTGCATATTATCTAAATTATCTCATATTTGAGATGTTGGAACAATCAAATATGAAAGATACTTAATGACTGATTATGAAAACAGTTGCAGAATAATTTCTAATCAACTAATTGCTGCAGCTCAATATGTATTCAAAGCAGCGTACTGTAGCATTGTTTTGTAAAAGAAAAAAAAAAAGGATGAGGATTGTACTAGATACCTTATGAGTCCAACCATTAACAAAACAAATGGTTGCTGGCACACAACAAAAAGCTAAACATGCGGCTTACAAGCATTCGTGATTATGAAACATTTCGTCACAATCCACAGCCTCAATCTGTACAGAATTAATTCTGTATTTTCAACAACCTTTTCCATTTGATTTCAATGTTTCTAACAGGAAATGAGATTGCATTGGTCACAGTTGGTTTTCTGACAGCAAGGGTGAGGGGAGGGGGGGCAGGCAGTCAATGGGAGAGAGGCGGATTAGATGAGTTGACCTGATTCACGGCCGAAAATGTAATATCATAAATGCGGCAGATTATGGCTGTTGTTCAGAACGCGAGCAGGGCTGGGTTAAATCTGTTAATCCCGCCACAGAAGGGGTTAACCTTAATGCGGGTGAGGTGGGGGGAGTGTGTTTGTGTGTGAGAGGAAGGAGTCTGAAAGGAATGTGTGTAGTTTTATGAAGTAATTATACTAAACTTTAACTTTAAAGACGTTAACTGTTGCAGTTGTAGTCTTAATGGTTTCCTGTTTTACTAGAATCCTAATACACACTATTATATTCATCCTGAGGGAGTAACTATATTACTTTTAAAATAATGACAACAGAATACCTTTTATATTTTTGAGCAATGAGCCCAACACAACTGCTATTATTCTATATTTTTCTATATATAGAAACAAATAAACCCCATGAACAGGGTTTAAGAAATCCAGGACATTTTCCAGGAGACTGTTTTCACGCAGTTTATCCTACCAACAGTAAACAGCTTTATCCTTTAAGGCTAAACAGTAATGTTTGTGTTAAATACTGCTGGAACATGGTTTTATATATCTAATAATAATATTTCTGGTGAGTCATGATAATTTTGACACACATATGCACATCCCACTCGTCTCTGGCCCCGTCTTTGAAGAGCGATTACTGGAGTGTTGTAGGTAGTGGTGTGTGTGGGGGGCATTAATAAATCATATCCAAGGGAAAGGGAAGCCCTGATCACATTATGACATCCAGAGCGAGACAATAAACCATCCCTTTATCCTAGTTTTTATCCTCTTGATTGACTGTATTTACAATTGTACATCGTACAGTAGGGGCCGCTTCATGCTCATTTGCATCACAGCATTTCAATCTATTGTTGTGTAACATTTAGAAGGATCTATTGGCAAAAATGGAATATAATAATCATAGGTATATTTTCATTAGAGAATAATTAGCTGAATATAGGAATTGTTGTGTTTTCGTTACCTTAGATTGAGCTGTCTTTATTTACAGATGCTGTAGGTCGCCCTCCTTGTAGTGCGCCATGTTGAACCACCATGTTTATACAGTAGCCCAAAATGGACAAACCAAAAACTGGCTGTATATAGGTCAAGTCAAAATGTTCTCCATTACCTATTTTTTGGATTTTATTATCTCTACTCTGATTTTCTCATTCCCTATGAACTGCAGTGTTTTTTTTTTACTGCTACCTCTAGCCTTGGCGTGGCGAGGGTCTGTGACACATGGCGTCTACAGCTGCTTCTTTCCACTTGCCATCGATTATTCACCAGGAGGGTGTTACATACACACTAGACTCACAAGCTAGTCTCTAAAGGCTTCGCTCAATAAAGACTGAGGACTTCCTCTCAGCTTTTGTTGCTCAAACTGGGTGAAAAACAATTCCGAATTTAAAAAACCTGCATTGCAGAACCAACCCAAGATCTTTAGGGTGATGAAACGCGGAAGTAGTGTGATTGTAAGTACTGTCGTACTATATTGGAACATCTATGTTTTAAAGAGCTCTCTCTCTGTTACAAAGTGATTCGCTGTATCTCCAGTTTGTTTCACTACGGAGGACGATTGAGTATTGTATCAGATAAGGCGTGCCCTTGAACTAAGGGGCGTACATTTATTTGTCAAGGTGTTGAGATCTACGTTTGTCTGGTATCGCAAGACTACATACACATTACGTTAAAGGTTCTGCACCTAACTGTGCTTGAACCCGGCACCACCCAGTGGGAACAGCTTTCATATGAAGCTCTTTTCACACTTCTGCAACATCTATTATGTAAATGTGGAGGATGTTGTTGTGATGACTTTGCTACTCAGAGTAATTAGGGCACACCTGCATGCTTCCGACTTCATGTTTTAGCCACCCTGTTACTAATTAACGATTACACCGAACATCCAAACTAAATTATGACATACGTCAGCGAGTGGACACAACCCAGTTACAGCACACCAATTACTGTCTGTATATTGAATCTGCTGCTATTTTGGTTGATTAGACGCGTGCAGGTTTCTACAGGCCTTGTTAAATTGAAATATCCTCCTCACTTGATGCTCTGGGGACAAAGCTCCACCCAACTTTAATCTGAAAAGATATCTAACAGACCTTTCTCACAGCAGCCACTTTGACACAAAATAGTTAAACATTTAGTGTATCAGAGCCTTTCCAGGGAGCCAACATGCACAATAGCAACACCCTGATTCGGTTTGACCTGAATGGAACAGAATCTTAATTAGTATTGTTGGTGACACCTGTGTTTACCCTACTATTTCATATCAAAATGGCTGCTGTGAAAAGCATGTTATCAGCCAGAATTACTACCCGGGTTTCAAACCCAGTGAGGGGAAAAATGGCTTCATAAAAGAACAACATAAAAGACCTCTGGAAGCTTCTGCAGACGAATCAATCAACTAAAGGGCAAAAGCTGAACATTGAAGGTTGTAATTTAATATACTTAATAATACTTTGACTCAATTTAAAGGTCCAGCATGGATGATTTAGTGGCATCTCGACTCAACCGAGCACAAAGGAGAAACTACAGTTGCCACAAAACCCTCGAAAAAACACAACAAGCCCTATAGCCACTGTTTGTTTTGTCCATTCTGAGCTACTGTAGAAATGGCGGTCTCCGTAGAACAGGACCCACTCTCTTTGTACATAAAAAACATTTTTCATTTCTGCCAATAGATCCTCTGGACCTTTAACATGCAAATAAAATGTTACCTTAAAAAAGCCCGGCAAACAAACACAAGGGCTTTCACTGAGTAAGTTTCTGCTCAGGAATGCTGCTTATTACATGAGGTCACCAGACTTAATCTAACAATAAGAATTATAAGATTTAATTTGTCCTGCCAAGCTCAGGAGAGTCAGGGTGATGTATCTATCCACTCCCACACAGTCCTGGGAGGAGGCCTGATCAGCCAAATACATTTTTGCTGTATTTTAGACTTTTTCTGCCTGTATTTTTTGCACTTGAAGCTGAAGTATAATATTGGCATACTTTAGCGAAAAAGATTCTACAATGTGAGAGAAGTTACAGTAAACCCAGCACATAAGAGAAGCTCTTGAGAGGATCTGACCCCGGGATCAAGGCTAAAATAAGCATGTGGGGGTCTCCAAACAGCTGGGATCTCTGTGAAAATGCTGTGCCCTCAAGGAAATGGTGCAGTGTTTAGTCCAACTCTTTGATTGCAGAGGGGATGTGCTGATAATGATGGAGCAAAGGCCTGGCAGCCAAGTGCCTTTAGTAAAAACAAACAAAGTGTGATCACAACAGTTCTGAAGAGGAGTAGACTTCCTGTCGTCTTGCCAAAGTGACAAGTTTTAATGATTCTTGTTTTATTTATGAGCATTAGTAATGAGACTGAACATATTTTATGAGCTACTTCACCAGCAAGTACTGGGTGTACAAGACACACCCTAATAGACACACACACTAGTCCAGTACATCAATCCTATCATATAATCAATCCTCAGCCTGTGCAATTCAATTGCTGTCCCATTTCCTCCTACTCTTCCTTGTGGCCTCGCCTTTGAGAAAATCCAACACAACAGTCAGACCGCATCAACGAGAACCTCAGCCTTCTCTTTCTGCTACACTCATTTCCTCACCGCTGACAACATAATCTTCATCCTTTTTCTGCTCCAGACATCTGAGTCATATTTCACTGCACGGTAAAGCATCAGCTGAAGATTTATTGTGGAGTCCGAGCCCAGAAAGCTCCAGAATAAGCTTGGTGTGTGTGTGTGTGTGTGTTTGTGTGTGTGCGCGCGAGTGTTTGTGTATCAAATAGAGGATGACGTGAGTGTCCTTGGATGTTTGCAAGTATGAGGGGGTGAGTGCACGCAGTCAATTAATCAGAGTATGAGCAGATATGTATTAAAGCTGCAGAAAGAAACAAGAAACTTCTGCACAAAGTACTCAAAGCATTTCCTGCTTGTTACTTGATTCCAGCCCAAATTTAATAAAAATGATAATCGAAGCTGCTGGAGAACCACCTTAATATCCATTTACCATCTTTATGAAGTAAATGCACTGACTGGGTAGAGTCTGGTCAATTTACAGTCTCTTTCTGGCCACAAAACCAGCATGATTAATGCTTTGGTATCGTAGTTGTCTGCAAATAGTTAATATATGTTGATATTATAGGACTGTGATAAACCATTGGGATTTAAGTGACAACAAGCTAGTTTATGCCATAGTGTCAGCTGTAATTTGTTAGTTGTTAGAGATTTGTTACTAATCTCCTCAGCGCCTCAGGAGAAGGCCATCTGTCTACAAGAGTCAATTAGCTAAGAGCAAACTATAGCTTAGTACTCTGGCAAAGGCCATTTACACTCGAGGAACTGGAAGAGGAAAACACTAAGATAAGTGCTTGATGAAGTATAAAAATGTTATGTATCATGTTTCTGGTGGAATCGGATTATGCAAATTAAGTTTGCTTTCAAGAATCGTATAGTTCTTCTGAGCCCTTTCTGCTCCTGTTGTTGAATTTAAAATTAAAACCCACACAAAAACACTGGTCTTTTCCTGAGCCACAATTTGACAATAAAACAAAGTATATTTTGGATCCCATCTCTCTCCTCTGGATGATTTGTTTTATTTCTCATCCCCCTAAAAGGGTTGGACAAAATAAGTGTTCCTGTGGGAAAGCTGAAGCTGAGCTACAAATATATACAGGCCTGCTGATCTCTCATCATGACATGTTTCTGTGTCCTGTAGTCATGGCTTTATGCACATTTATTTAGTCATTATCAGTTTTTTCACAGGATATACAGTAGATCAGAGGAGCTGGGCCATAATGGTTTAAATAAATATCATGATGATAATCATAATCACCCATGTGAGACTGTAAAAATGTACAATGGTGCAATAAACCTTCAATTAATTCATTTTGTTATTTTTCATTAGGAATTATTAATTTGGACAGCAGAAATTGTGTAAAACAATAATCAATATATCAAGATGACAATTAAAGTCAATAAAATATCACATGATTTTGTGATATTTTGTCGCAAACACAAAGTTTTTTGCTTAGGAAGAGGCAAAGACCATCGAGTGCACATGCCTGCTTGATATTTTTAGCCACACTAGTGACTCCAGGGACGGCGATGCCACTTGGTCGATCCAACACTTTGGTATAGACTGCAATATCTCCACAAATACTGGGTTGCCATTACATTTTGTCCAGACATTAGTGGTCCCCAGAGAAAGAGGGCTACTTACTTTGACTTTGATGAAAATCACTTGCTGAATTTTTCATTTGTGACACCATTTCAGGTTCACGTTGAAATGTCTCAACTATTTGATGGATTTCCATTAGATATTCATGTTTCCAAAAACAGTTTGGTTTACGACTAAATACAGACAAAACTAACTACTTTGTCATCAGCCTCAGCTATACTTGAAGGTCCAGTGTGTAAGATTGAGGGGCATCTAGAGGTGAACCTCACCCTCCCTTCCAAGGGTGTAGGAGAAACTACGGTGCTTACACTTGACCCTGTCTAATAGAGCCAGTGTTTGGTTTGACCGTTGTGGGCTACTGTAGAAACATGGTGGCTCAAAATGACTGATTCCTGCACCCAGGCACCACCAATGTCCAGACCAGATTCTCTACACATAGAGTTTACATGAAAAAAATATGCGCTCTGAAGGGGTAGATGAGGCAGGGATGCGAAGCAAGCCCGTTGTTACAGTTGCCAGACGCCACCACTCAACAGGGCTGGAACCAGGTTTAAGCCTGTCTTTCAAAAACAAAAATGGTAGACGCTTCAAAGAATCAAGTTAATGCTAGAACAGATGATGTACTGTCCAATGAGGGAACACAATTGCCACTGCTAACGCTATTTTTTTTGTTATTGACACTACCTTCGATTTTATAGTGAATTTCTACATGTTTGGACCTGTTTTCTTCATATTGACCATTATCGAGTCACAAGCATGGCTGTACACTCTTGTTTTCCATGTAACCACACTGGTCATGTTAGAAGTTAAGGTCTCACACCCCAGGTTATTTATCCTATCATATGCAAATCACTTGTCTATCCCTCTGTTTATTTCCTTTCCCAGCTTCCCATGCAGATACAACTTGTGCCTATGAATGCATATGAATTGGATCCAGCTGGGTCTGCAACCGAAATCACTGCTCTTACATAATTAATGGTCCAAGATACCCGCGCACACTGATGTGGGCCAACTAGTGCCCTCCCCAACACTCCCTTGAGGAAGATGGGAGCCAGAGCAGCTGGACAGACTTACCAATGGCTGTCTCTGGCATGGCAAACAGCGTCTTTTCAGAGGCCACTCGAAACCGCCCGTGAACTGACAGCCCTACGCCCTGCAGGTGGAGGGGAAAAAAGAGAAAAATCAATGCTATGATGAAGAGAGGAGGAAGAAAAACCCAAGCTAAAGACCCCCTAAAGAAAATACACAGAAGGGGAAAACAGGGCATGGAGAGAACATTAATAACTGTCACCTCTACGGAGAGGCAGTGGGCGGAAGTTTGAGATGTAAAAACGCTGACTGAAAACAAAAAAAAGTAAACCAGGACGCATACGTATGTGTGTGCGTACACTCGTGGTTCCCAGCAGAGGAAAAGAGAGAGCGAGAGAGAAAGAAAGAAAGGTGAAGGCTAATGAGCAGCGTTAGCCAGAGGACATTTCATTGTCTGTGTGTTTGTGTGTGTCAGATCATAAGGTTACCATGGAAACAACATCCTCAACTAATATGCATATAATGGTGTAGATACACAGACAGGTGCACTGTAAATGGTAAATAGACCTTTCTAGTCTTTCGACAACTCAAAGTGCCTTTACACTACGTGCCACATTCACCCTTTCACACACATTCACGGAAACTAACTCATACACATTCACACAGCACAGCATCAGGAGCAATTCGGGGTTCAGTATCTTGCTCAAGGATACTTCGACATGTGGCGGGAGGAGCCAGGAAT